TTCATTTTTTTGCAGTGTTCACTATCTAGAATGGATATGAAATATATTCGTTTAGTTTAAGGCAATAGCATACTTTTTAGTTTTGTAATCTGTGTGTAGATAAGCTAATATCCATGTGGGTGTAAAAAAAATTTAATCCTCCAATTACAGTTTATATTTTGGTCATCCGGCCACTATTATTTTTTTAATTTTATATAAGTGACAAATTCTGTCAAACTAATTGTCAGTATATTTTTTGTTGTTGAGATTAGATATATGTTAAAATTAGTTAATCGATAAATAATATAGCATTTCTATTTTTATTTTGTCCACATTTACAAACACTCAAATCATAAAATTTAATCAAACTATATGAAACTAATTTAATTAAGAGTATTAAATCTAAAATGTTAAGTGTGTTGATGCAGATGAGTACAGGGCGTTTGGTTTCCATTCGAGAGGCCCGGGTTCAAATCTGAGCTGTGGGACTAATTAAATTAAATATGTTTTTTCATGTTTATTTTATTTTAAAAAATAGGAAAAGTCATAAATTATTTTAAAATTACTTAAGTACGTTATTTTGTTTTAATAACGTTAAATAAATTTTTAAAATTTGTAGATTATCGTCAGTTATTAGCATGACAAAAAAAGAAAATAGGTATGGTTGTAATGACAAGTTGTTTTTTTTAAGATACATAAGGTCCAGGATTGAGTCATATTAAACGAAAGATTACTTAATTAATTAACAAAGACACAATTTATTTTAAAAACTTTTTCAGGTCAGTATTCAATTAAAAATAAGAGATATATCGAACTTCGTCAAGTGTTTCTAACACCTGAGAGATTACATTACGTACAAATATGGTTCAAAAAAGAAGAAATAAATGATTTCTGACTTTTATGTTTTAACGGTTTTCACGGGTTTTCATTAGTGTTTAAGATACCTAGGTATTTGACATTTGTAATTATGGAATTTTCATTTCATATCTTTAAAAAGAAAAATGTGAGATAATGAGATATATAAAATTAACTCTAAAGGAACAAAATTCTTGATCAAAATTTTAAGATTGTATCCAAAGAATAAATTTAATACCCAAGTATTATAACTTGTTTAAAAGTTTGTATTATATTTTTTTGTTTCATTTTTATTTTTATAAATACAATAGTCTCTAAATCCTTTTTTATTTATGTATTTATTGTACAATTTTAAAAATATCATACATTTAATAATTAATTTAATAATAGTAGTTTGTGTAACAAGAGTGGATAGGATAGCCAGTGTTGTTCTTGGTTGTACGATTGTACAAAATGTTGTACAATCACTTATGTGGCTGTAATGTTGCACACGCTTTTGAAAAAAGGCGAAAATGTTGTATAATTTGAAGTTGCTAAATATTTATGTGAAATCTGGTATATAAACAGCTTCCTTCTGCTCAAAAAATCTACAATTCGTAATATCGTATGTATTAAAGTTAATAAAAAAATTAAAGTTTAAATTTGGCGCCCAATCGAAATCATTTTGTAAATGATTGGACTTTTATGCTTTAAAAAAAGAAGAATTTTATGCTTTGGGAAGTGGCTGGCAGAGAAAAAGAAGAAGATTAATTAGTGGTTGTACAATCGAACGTAAGTGTACAATTTTGACATTGAAAGATGTACAATTTCAAAATACCTAGGAACAACACTGGATAGCCATATCGCATGAAGACGAAGTTTAAGCACGACGCCATAGACGGAGTGTTCAATCGTCTGAGTACGAAATTGACAATCTACTCGAGTTGTACAGTATATTTTTTCTACGACCGACTAACGAAAATCTACAACTTTAAAAAATTATTTTAGGTTATTAAGACAAAATAACTAATTTTAAAATAATTTATGAATTTTACTAATTTATAAAATAAAATAAAAAAAAAAGATTTAATTTAATTAGTCTCCAGCCCAGATTCGATCCGTGGCTTTTCACGTGGATAGCAGAGGCTCTCTTCTCATCTCCACCGCCACTTTTAGGTAATACTCGTAATTAAATTAGTTTCATATAGCTTGATTAAAATTTTATTTTTTTTTTTTAAAGTGGACCAACTAAAAATGCTATAATTTATCGATTCTATACAAAAATAACTCATTTTTATCTATATTTAAGCTCAATAACTATAATAAAATATACTGACAATTAGTTTGAGAGAATTGTCACTTATTTAAAATTTTAGAAATAATAGTAGTTCTCACTATAGAATGGATATGAAATATATTCGTTCAGTTAAATGCAATAGCATACTTTTTCGTTTTGTAGCCTTTGCATAGATTAGCTAACCATCTAAGTGTAGAAAATAATAGCAAATTTGTGATGGCCAATATGTAATATGCACGAAGACGAAATTTGAGCACGACGCCGCAGGCGGAGTGCTCAATGTGTGATATGGACAATCCACTTGAGTTGTACAGTTTATTTTTTCTACGACCCACTAACGAAAATCTAAAAATTATTTTAGATTAATAAGATAAAATAACATTTAAATAGTAATTTGTGCAACATGATGGATATGGACAATCCACTCGAGTTATACAGTAAGTATATTTTTTCTACGACCCACTAAAGAAAATCTACAAATTTAAAAAATTATTTTAGGTTATTAAGACAAAATAACTAATTTTAAAATAATTTATGAATTTTACTAATTTATAAAATAAAATTAAAAAAATGTATTTAATTAGTCCCCAGTCCCGAGCTTTTCGCTTGGAAGGCAGATGTTCGGATTTTAGTTTTAATACTCGTAAGTAAATTAGTTTGATTAAAATTACTTAATTTTTTTTTCAAAATGTGAACCAAATAAAAATAAAAATCGATTCTACACAAAAATAACTCATTTTGATGTATATTTAATCTCAATAACTTAAAAATATACTGACAATTTAGTTTGACAGAATTGTCACTTATTTAAAATTTTAAAAATAATAGTAGTTGGGTGTCCAAAATATGAACTGTGATTGGTGGATTTCTTTTTTTGCAGTGTTCTTCTCACTACCTAGAACGGATATGAAGTATCTTCCTTCAGTTGAAGGCAATAGCATATTTTTTTGTTTTGTAGTCTGTGCGTAGATAAGCTAATATCCATGTGGGTGTAGAAAAAATATTTTTTAAGTGTATTTAATATACCAACTTTAAAATCATTAGGGCATAAGCTATTCGATATCACAGGAATATAAAAAGATAAACTAAATATGGCCTTAATAAAAGTTGTTATGCAACAGATAAAAAACAAAACAAAATAATCATCTTATCTGAATCCAACAAAATATAATCAAGAGTTTAAAAATAAACTACACATATCGGCGACACAAAAAATAATTAGACAAAAATTTTTTATTAGGTATAAACAAAACTTTAATTTTATTTTTTTTTGACCCATTTTACAAAAGCAATTTTCTGGTGATTATTCCTATCATAAAATATATTCATTAAAGTTAAGGAAGTTATTTTGCTCCGTCGTCTTATTAATCATTCATCGAGCATGGAGCAGCTTTGAGATGAGAATAATAATTTTACTCTGGAACGAAGGCAGTGGCGTGCTTATAAATATATTCAATCAAATTTGTTAAAATACCTAATTAATTTTCCGTTAAATATAAACTACACATAAATCCATCCAAATCAAACTGTATTATTTATTGTAATTTGTAAATAAGTGGTAAATATTTAAAATCGTTTCTTGTGCAAATTTATTCATGATTTTATTGTCAATTAGTCCATGTGACCATTTATCCAATTAAAATCGATATTTAGGTATTTATTGATATTTGATATCATGGGTGGTCAAACCAAAATTTTATCCAAAAAATTAAAAATCTCTTTTCGCGTGGTATTTGGAAAGATTATTTAACAATATAGGTATATGAATTATTGAGTTAATATTTGAACAACCAAAACGACTTTTGTCCATTTTTCGTCACTTTTTGTCAAACTTCACATTACCTGATATATTAGGTATACTCTGGTAATAAATTGAATTGTTTAAATCCAATGGGGATTGACTGGATTGAGTGAAAATCGTGCATTATTTTTACAATGCACCATTCCCTGTTTACTAAGAGGACCAGACAAGGTTATTTTATTACTATAACTCCTATTTATAGTTTTATCATAGTTTCAAAACAAACATAAGCATGTAAATAACTACCTAATTATCTGCTAATTATTAGGTTTTAGTTAAAATAAGTTATTCAGTACGTGATTCAATATACAATTATTATTGCATTGTAAACAATTATTGTATAATTGAAAACTTATTTATTAAACAAAGCGTTTCCAAGAGTTTTCACTTTTGTAAACAAATAAAAGATTCCCAATATAGGTTAGTAGACCTCGAATTCGCTAGGAAATAGCTATATTAATATCTGGGTTATTCAAACAATTTATTATAATATTGCCGGTCTATAAAATATCCTGTTTCAGCTTTGACAAATAGCCAGCTATCCTGAATTTTCACTTCCAGCCTTGTTCTTGTTATTCCTCTTAAAATGCATGACTCACGTGTTTAAAGATACAAATTCAAAGAAATGTTCTTGTATGGTAGATGAAAGTATTTTGTGTACGTGATAAGGCACATTAAACGTCTTTTTAAGCAGATCTTAGATATACAATTTAATTTCCAATAAGTAGAGAAACTAGTAGAACGCGAGTAGCCGCAAAATACTTGATTTCAAACTTATAAAACAAAAAGGAAAGTGTTATGCTGTGTGAATACAAGGACGAAAATTACATTTACATTCGTTTAATACTTATTACACAACAAAGATACATTGAAAATATAATTTAAACTAGTAAATTAACAATCATTTTTCAATTCATTATTAAAAACAAAAGGTAGGTCGTTCAAAAACTAAGCAGGTACCCAATTATTTACAATAAAGAAAACAATCGCACCAGTTTCGCAGTTTCTAAAAAGTTCTCATAGTTCGTTTAATTCAAATAAGGTTAATCATTACTTAGCGACAAATTGTAGAAAAAAAATAATTCTTACCTTTTACTGTTAAAATCTTTGCACAAAGCAGACTTTACATATATGTACACAGGTATCAACAATGAGAGCTGCACAAACACTATAAATACTTTGTTTGCATTCCAATTGATATTAAAACATAATTAAACTTCAACAATAAAGAACTCACCCAGAACACTAATTTAGTTCATGTTCTCGATATTATTTTGACGTTCAGAAAGACATTATTATTACAGTTATTCACATACCTTATCTCGCGGAATACTAGAGGTGAATGAAAAAGTGACAAATGCAATGCAAGTGCTGACAATGACATTACCTCCACTTTCTCTGTGGCCAATCTAACAAAATGAAATATTTTTTTTAAATACCTTTTCCGGTACCAATAGAAGCATTAGTATACATAATTTAATGACCCAGTAATTACATTGTAAATTAATAATATGACCATTAAAATGTTTCCTACAATAGAAATAATTAACAAATTAATTAAAGAATATGGGGTTAGGCAATACCTTATACTGCCGTGTAATGTATGTTGCCGCCATTGCAGAACAAGTTTTGTTGTGACATCTGTTGGTGAACACTTCAATTAAACAGTCTTATAGACCAGTCAATCTGAGTCAAATTAAATTCAGGCTCAAGCTGAATATTTTTTTTATTTATTGGTTTTATTTAATTTTTTTGTTGTGACATCTGTTGGTGAACACTTCAATTAAACACTCATATAGACCAGTCAATCTGAGTCAAATTAAATTCAGGCTCAAGCTGAATATTTTTTTTTATTTATTGATTTTATTTAATTTTTTAGTTTCTAAATTCTTTTTAAAATGTTTACTTTTAGTTTTTTACGCAATACCACACATGCGTTAGTGTATGTTTAATTGCAATTTCATCAACCATTATGTAGCGACAAAATAGCGACTTTAGGCGAACAAAAGTAGCGACAATCACAGATGTCGCTGCGGCAACACTGAATCTGACCATATTTTGACACATTCGCAATTGTCGAGTAAATTACTCAATTTTCCCAATTTAGTAACAAAAGAATTTTTAGTTTTAAGAATTTTGGGATGATATTTATCAGCTGCTTCCTGTGACGGTCATATTCGCGAAAGGTGGGAGGAAATAAATAGCTCAAGCGAAGGCAGATAAAAATTTAATTATTTATTGACCATTAATTTTAGATGGTCACCCAAGCTACATCTTATTGTATGGTATACAGGATGTAGTTCTCGTGTACATTATTTTCTTTGTTAAGATAAATCAGAAATAGTTTTTATTTGTATTGCAATAAAAGTTTCTATATAATGACTTTAGAAAATCGCCTCAATTTTTTTAGTTGCATCCTACTGTATGAATTGCCATTTTATTTTGAATAAATGACATAATTTATCATGTATTTACGCCGTTTATTCGTTTATTTTTTCTCATTTACATTTTTATAAACATTTTTTTTGGCTATTTTGACTAAAAAGGCACCATTCGATTTTTTACGATTTTTTTTCTATCCCATCAACATTTTTTTATCTATATTTTTTTCGTTTAATTTTTAATCTACATTTATTCATTGCATTTATCATCTGAACTTTTTCATCTACATTTGTTTACCATTTTAGCTAGGAATCAGGGTAACCTGTCGTTTTTCGTGATTTACTTTTAAACATCCATGTCTCCATTATTCTTAAAGATAGCTCAACAAATTAGAATCTACCTCTACGTGACAAAATCATGTATTACATGATCTTGAGCGGATTTGAAATAAACAAGATAGGGCGGTTAAGAAGGCAAATAAGTATGCCCATATCACATTTGTGTATTTTACTTTGAAAAACTTTGAACGACAATTACAATTAATATAATAATAAGTATGAGTTCATGCTGAGATCTACAAGATATGCTTAGCTCAATATTGACAAATTATTTACTATTTTTGACAATTTTTGACAATTTTTGACAATTTTTGACAATTTTTAACAATTAATTTTTGGTAAACTTTTTGACATTCTTTTGACAACCATGGTCTTCTCTCAAATATTTTTCTTTCTTTCCATCATGGTTATTTTTCCTACTTTTTTTTTCATGTTTACAGATTGTACAAGAGTGTCAAGCCAATAAAAATACAACTTTTTGTATCTTAATTTGATCTTGTACAGCTAAACATCGTTAATGTCCAGCAAAACGCCATTATTATCCAGCAAACAATCAAACATTTAACCTTTTTATTTCTGCTGTTTATATTCTTCTTGTTTGCGTGTTTTAGAAGTTTATAATAATTTTTAGTTGTTTTGTGTTTCAAGAACTAATAGTTGTGCGGTTCTGTTTTTCCAGTTGCATTTCTCTCCCACCCATTTCCTTATATATGAACCACACTAAAATATCCTACACCTATAGTAATGCTTTCTATGTATTCCTATCACCACCCATTAATTACGATTTGAATTAAATTTCTGTAAAAGATTACACTTAGTCTCCCAGGTCGAAACTCCAATATCCCCTTGGTAGTCGATGTGTTAAAAAACGTTTTGTGACGATTTATAAATGACAAGAAAAAATAAACAACCACCTAGAGATATAATATTTATTAGTATTTCACAAATTTTATAGAACAAAAACATTAAAAATGTGAAAAAAAGATCCATAAATTAAAAAATATCTTCTAATTCACACAGATAGGACAAGTTGGCAAAATCACAATATTGTTTTGCAGAAAAGCATTGCACTTTGCCTCCAGTTGCGCATCACAGATAACTCTTTTTTGACTGTACAACTACCCAGACATCGTAAAAAGCAAAAAGAAAATATTTTCTTCCACTTTAATGAGAAACACATATACAAAGCTAATTACACGCATATATAAAACAGACTTTAGAGTGACCAAAATACCTTTGAGTTGTTACAAAAGCAAAAACAATGCTATTTCTATAACTCACAATGTAGAGTTCACAAAAATACATTAAAATAGCACATTTTTGCACAATAAAGGTTTTTTTAGTTCATCTTGTTCAACTGTGTTGTTTATAAATATGTCTACGAAAATCTGTCATTATTTCACTTTGATTTTTACATTTACACCTTATTTTATAGAAAAAAAGCCGTTTCAGCCTTAAAAAATACATGAATATGTACAGCAAATCCGTCTTTAATCAATACTTAAGAGAATATTACATTTACATTTATACAAACGTACATTGTGTTATTTATTACTTACTATCCTGTTTTTTTTTAATATTAGTATTAATAGTACTTTACTCAAAAAAAAAAATGAGTACGGTCCCTGAGCGAATTGATAATAATATTATCTTACAATACTAACTCAGAAAGAGTATCGGTTCATATTTATATACAAAAAAAAATACGCTGAGTCTCAAAAAAGCATTTTTATAATTTTTGGGGTGCATAAAAAATTAGGATATATTTTCAGACAGGTATATTGACATAATATTATAATTTTACAAAACAATCCTTGTTTAATTTTAAACTTTGTCTGTTTTTTCTTTAAATTTTAAATTAAAATTAAAATTTGCATTTTTTGAAACTCTTTCTTCATTTTTTCATGAACTATTTTTCCTTGATCCTTTAAAATCTGTTAATAAATTTCAAAATGTTTATAAGTTTAATGGTATACAATATGCAATTGGTGTCAGGTTGATTTTGAAAGAGATCTTAAGTGTGCTTTAAAAACTGTGCAGGTTTCTGTAAAATGATAGTATAATTATTAGAAACCACTTAGGATTCAATATAATGAACAATTATAAAATTGAACAGATGTTAGACATTGGAATTGACGAAATTTCAGAAGGGAGAATCTTCATGACCAAACTAGTACAAGTGTTGTAAGATAAAAACCTCCAATCAAGGAATTATGGACGAAAAACTGTAAAGGATACAAATATTAACCACGGAATGGAGTATATTTCGAGTTTAAATCACTGTGTTACTAATTGAATACATCTCAGTAAGCAAACAAAAAGACTTGGATACATCATATACATAATAACCAAAAGAGAAAAAAGAAAAAGGAACTAATCAATGGCAAGTCCATAGAAGATAGAAAAAAAACTGCAAAAGAAGTCTAACGAACACAAACCACAAATATTTTACTAAACAAGAAGACCAAAGGTGGACATCAAGAAGGTATCAGAAAAAATTGATAAATCTAGGAAGAAATAAAAGATAATGAAAGAAAGTGAAGTGAGAAAGTCGGTTTAGATCCGAAACTAAACAATTTTGATTATTTCCAAAATTGCATTTAGTTGCGGATTCAAACAGACTTTCTCACTTCATTTTGTTTCATTATATTTCACGTTTACGGCGTACCCTACCCGAAAACTTAATATCATTGAACAAATTAAAGATCTTAGAAATTTCTTCTAGTTTAATATTAATTAGCGTCCTAAATGATGTCAAAAGGGTGGCTTAAGGAAATTTGTAGGAGCTGAGATTGAATGAGAATTTGTTTCTGCTACGGAGAATCGGAATCTTCAAATTTGCGAATTCGGATATTAATAAAAAGTAGTGTTGATAGCTTAATTGGCAGAGCCCAAACGGCCCAAGTCCGAGATTCTCAGCTTATTCAATTTGTTTTTTTTTTTTTAATTTGGGGCTATGAAGCTGTAATTGTCATAATTTCAAAGGGGGGAATTAGGGATTTTTCATTTTCATTATTTCTAAAAATTATAAATAAAAAACTGAGGATGTGACTTGAAAAGCTTGGTGTTGTCAGAACAAGACCAATATCAACAAGGAATGTTTTAAAGGAATATGCACACCGAGTCATATCAACAGAGGAGCTGAAGAAAATATAGTTATCAGTACATGGTGTCCATAATAAAATTTGCCATAACATAGTGTAGTAAGGAGCTATCTTTGTTAGGTATTTATTTGTTGCAGTTGAACTAGTAGCAGCTTGTACTGAAACTACCAAGCGCCAAGGATGCATGAAACATGGAAGACTAATTTGTTAAGTTTTATGAGAAATAAAAGAACTGAGGATGGCATTTCAAAAGTTGGGTCTTGTCAGGACAATATCAAGATCAACAAGAAATTTTTAAAAAGAATATACGTACTGATTCATGTCAATAAAGGAGCACATGCTGAACATAATCAAATTTACCATGACACAGTGTAGTAAGAAGCGATTTTTGTTAGATTTTTATTGGCAGCTTTAAAGTGGGTGTGACCAGAATATTGGAATAGCGACCTCTAGACCAGACCTCTATAAGTTGATAGATGATATACAATTACATTAATAGAATATTTTAAACTGATACGTCTGAATTGAATAAAATGGAAGGTGGTAAGGAAGACCTTCATTCAGCCGTGCACAATTTGATCTATGATGATTATAATCAAATAAAACAGATTATGGTTAAAGGGGAACATGGGGGTAAAATAATAAAAAAACTTATGGATTAGAAACATGCCTTATAACCAAAAATGGTTTGTGGAGGAAGAGGTATAACTTTAAAACCATCAAGATGTGTAGATTTTACAATATCCCGGTCAGTAAAACAAACCTTCTGAAATAGACCAGTCATTTCTTGAGAATAAATGAAAATAACCTTCTATAGTGATGATATATTTGGACAAATTTGAGACCTATATGAAAGAGGAATTCTACAATACCCGAAAATACTTTATTGTATTATTAAAAATTAAATCCCGTTATTCTTACCTGCTGAAATGTAAATAAAGAACATTTTGAACTCGGGAATATTTCATATCTCCATCTGGTGTTACCTGAACTCTTTTGACACTCTATCGAAATGTTTTGAAGTAAACAACATTTAATAAACTGGCGCCCGAGTGATTTTCGAGTCTAATGCGTCATAAGCAAGAACAATTTTCTCGGAAAACATCTTTCAAAATGGCATATAAATTATAATGCATACATTGTGGCAGGAAGGAATTGAATAAAGAGACTGTAAAGGTAAGACCTTCCTAAGGGCTGTCAAGCCCTGATATAGAAAAAAAGGAATACACATCAGTAAGCAGACGGGCTATGGGAAGACTAAATTTGCCACATTGGACAGAGAAATTAAGAAAGCTATAATCATAAATTGTAGATACACACAGTAAAATATTAAAAGTTGATTGGTCAATATTCTTTTAGTACTTTAGCACCAGTAATGATGATGACGACGATAATTTATTGACAGTTCTACTTCATTAAAAAAAGCGGAAAAATTAATATTTTCAAATGAAACTATTCAATCATGCTCAAAATAATCCATCCCTGTTTCATATTGATGGACATAGAAAAGATTGTAAACAGTTTTAATGCACAACTAAAAGTTTTCTCTTAAATTTAAATCATTTTTTATTTTATTAACAAATTTTATGGAAAAAAATAGTTTAAGCTAGCACACTTATTGAAAAAAATGGAAAATAGCATTAAAAAATTTGAGTATTCATTTAAAACGTACTTATTTCGAAACAAAAAAAAATATAGTGATTTACAAAAATGTTTTTAATATTATCATTAATTTGCCTTTTAACATTCATTCCAAACAAGAAGTTTTTGGTGGTATATTAATTTTAAACGAACACTCGGATTTGTACAAAATGAATGACTGAAAATAACTAAAATGAATTATAATAAATATATACAAATCAACCTATTTTTATGAATTTGATTGGATATGATTGATTCTGTCACGTTCTATCATATAAACTATTAACTAAATACTTGAAACATATATTTATATATTTCGTGGACCACCTTTTTCTCAAAACAGTTACAAAAATTGCACTTTCACAACATTAAATCCTACTTAATTTCTATTTCGTAATTTTAAAGCCTAAATTTCATGTAAAATTGTCTAAAAAAGCTGGTAACTTAATTAGTTAACGCTTAAAAAATAAATAAACCTCTCTAAAAATTGGTCAAACAAATAATATAAAAAATCTTTTTTTAAGGTGATGGTTTCGTCCAGAGTTTTTAAACAAAAAAGTTTTTAACAGAAACGAATTGTGCAAAAATATATAATTACGTTTTTAAAACTTTCGTCATTTGTAAAACATTTAAAAAATAATAGGTACAAGTAACTAACAATTGAAACAAAAACTTTTAATTTATAGATGTTTCTGAATTTGTTACATACAAATAAGCTAAATAATACGCTGTATTAGTGAGAGATAATTTGTGTGCCAAACAAAAACAAACCATTCTGTCATTGATTTTGATATACAAGGTGTTCCATTCGTGCGTAATTGCCCGATAAATCAATTTGTGTTATAGGTACACTAACAAGTTTAAAATAAAAGTAATAGGGATTTGAAACAGGCATATTTTAAAAATATTTGTGGATATACAGGATGTTAAACTTTAGCCTGGCAAATAAAAATGTATATTTTTTAAATGGAACACCCCTTATTTTATTTCAGTTTTAGAATGTTCTAGTCGTGCTAAAATATTTTTGAAAACTATTACAGGGTTGCCAATTAATTTTTTTGTGAACTTAAAGACTCCAAATAAAATTATCATAATTTGGGTAGATTAGCAATGATTTCAAAATTGTTTAAAATACAGACTTATATGATACAAAACTAACGAATAGTAATGATAGAACTGGTTCATTTTATACAGAGTGTTTTAAAACATGTAACAAATAAGGCTCATATTAAGTTCAATTTACTCAAGTTATGAATTTACCTATCCACTGATACCAACATGTTAGTCTATTATTTATATCGATATAGCCGTTTTACTATTCTAAATAGGAAGAATTTTTTAATGCACAAGTTGTGGGACGATGGGACACCCTCTATATGTATAATTGGCTAACATGTTGGTATCGTTGGATAGGAACATTTATAAGGAATTTTAAGATAAATAATAGAGGGTGTTGCATGTTGCATTTGAAAAAACTGAGTAAATTGAAACTTAAAATTAGCCATATTTAAGGCATGTTTCAAAACAATACAAATTAATATTTTTGCTTGTTGTATTCTAATAAAAATATATATTTGTATTAAGTAAATGGCCATTTAAAAGTAGCCTCTCCTTATACACTAGGCCACGAGTTGCCGCTGTTTATTACATCTACATGATAAAAAAATCACATCTCAGATGCATTAGATGTGGATATTCAAAAGCAGCTTTAACTGACTTGTTTTTGCCTTTTTGCCAAATTTATTATAGAAGTTTTTTGAATGTTATGCATTTCTGATGAGACAACCAGTATGTTATGCATAAAATGTTTACCATAATGAATCTAAAATACTAAAGCCATGTTTGCCTCTTCCTTTAGTGAATTTAAAAAAAAAAATCAAAATAGTTCTGGTGTTTAGAAATTATTAATATCCTGTTTTTCTTTTCTTTTTATTCAGTTTAAAATATTCCAGTTCTTCAATTTTTTGCAATGTCTATAAAATCTTTAGTGTTTTTATTTAATCGTGTTTGGAGATCATTAAAAAGTAGTTATAAATTAATAAAATCTTGAAAATAATAGCAATAAAAAGTGTATTAATTATTATTGATTATTTATTGTTTTACATAATTGATTATTGAACGATTATTTAACTATAATATCTACATACTTTAGGAATAAGATCTAAATCACTTAAATGTAATAATAACAGTTCAAAAACTAGTTATTTAGCCTATGTACAACTTTGTTTGGCACACGAATTACATCATCACTAATACAATTTATAACCATTTTATTTTAATAGGTATGTGGACTGATTATTTTAAAGCCTCCTATACTTTTTGATGATTTAGGCTACTGTCATTTTATGACATTAATATGGCTCTATGTTCGTGATGACGTAATTTATGTTCCAATACCAAATAATGACATTAACAGTACTTCTGAAATCGACCATTTTCGTACGTAAATCTCCATAAGAAATTCTATGAATCAAAATAGCGAATGTTGTGTATTGTTATCATCTGGAATTTATTAAATATTATACATGTGAATAAGCACATAAGTCAAAATATCGCCATATTTTTATTAAGTCAAATTTAGCGTCAATAACTACAAAAATCACATGTCAATAATTAAACATAAAGAGGTTAGAAATGATTTTGTATATACACATAAGTTGAAGTCCAATGATATGTGCTATACCCAACGATATGTGCTGGATATAAGTTTTTAACCTCTCCTGAAAAGTTACTCTTTTATGACTTATGTACTTATTGCCACTATATGCAGTTATAAGGCGATACCTATCATTTGTCAAATGTCATATTTGTCACTTATCTATCATATCTGTCACTAGATGGATGATGTTATATTGTTAATATTCTAAGTAATCTGTCGACTTCCGATTCTGACACAGACGTGTCAACATCGAAATGGTGGTTACTGAATCGGGAGTCCAGTTTCAACAAAAAGTTTTAAATTTACCATCTGACTTTTAAAATTCTATAATTTAGTGCATCCTGTGCCGAAGTTTCAAATATATATTTTAGTAAAAGTTAAAGGGGATTAGTGGTTTCAGAGTCCTGCTGCGACTTCGTTCATAATTTCTCATTAAGAATAAATATGTAACATTGGGCATACGGTGTAAGTTAAACCCATTAAACCATTTAAGTGTTTTACCACTTTAAAGTAAATATTAATGAAGTAGAAATAGTGTTGTTAATAGAGCCCTTGTGTGACTCTCTAGGCATGCTGTTCTCACTATAGCTACAGCTTAGCCCATACAAACAAGATTAAAGAAGAAGTAATTTGTCAACTCGCAACTCTCTCGTTGTTTTTATTACAATTACTATTAGAATCATATATATTAACAAATTCTTAAAATAAATGAAAGAAAGGTGAAATGAGAAAAATCGGTTTAGGTCCAAAATCTAGATGCAATTTTGAAAATTATGAAAATGAAAAATAGCGCAATTTCCCATATGAAATGATGAAAATTAATTGTTGATTTTTTATTTTCATAATTTCCAAAATAGCCTATCTACGTGGAGTAGCGGTTAAGGCAACAAACTTTAACAAATGGTTCATGGTAATCGTGAGTTCAATTCCCGGTTGCTGTTTTTATTTTTATTTGATAAATTAAAAAATAATCATTATGGTGTGTTGTTGTAAATGTTGAGAATAATGATGATGTAGGTTTGAGTTGCAAAATGACAGATTATTAACACATTAAATCATCCATCTAGTGGCTGATGATAAATAACAGCATCCATTTAATGACGGATGATAAGTAATAGGTGTCTCATCGAGCGAGAGAGATGATAGTTGATAACTCCAGCATGTAACTTTGAAATTTACGATTTTCACTATTTTGAACCATATAAATTTTTCATAAACATTTACATGAGGAAATTATCGATTTTGTCCCTGAAATTCTCATAGCTCCTTTACTTCTTCATTTTGTTACAACTGAATTTCCTAGTTTTTGTACTTTTATATTCCTCAAGTAAAGAGATGCCTCATATATAGGGCCATTTGCATCGTTAGTCATTAAGAAACGAGCGAAACTTAAAATAACATATTTTATGAAAATATGTCATTTTAAACTTGGTTTGTTTTTTAACAACTATAATCAAAGACGTCGAATGATTTGTTTTTTTTTTAAATCAACTGTCATTGTAACACAAATTACTTCACACTAATACTGCGTATAAGAAAACTGAAAATTATGTCTCTTCTTTTTGATTTTCATCCCTTATTTCAGCGTCTGCAAAAATTCAGAAACATCTTTCGGCGATACAAAAACTATTAACACAACAAAAAAATATATATTATAGAAACCACCACACCCGTCATTGCATTTAGATTCAAAAAATAAACGGAAATTCAGCGGAAAAACACTTTACAACAAAATTGCAAACCTAAATCACAATTAGAAAGTAATATCACGGATTTATTGAGTGGCGTATCACATGGGAAATCATAAGGCTACAATTTCTCACAAAAAAATCTTAATGTCGTCAGCAGGATGATTTTCATACTAAATGGATCGCGATAGTGTGATATGGATAGTGATAGTGTGACATATATCGTTAGTTCACAAGAATAGTGACACAATTCAATTTTTTAATTTTCGAGCCTATTGTAAAAATATATAGCCAAATCCATTTATCATGATTAAAAAGTGACACAAATCTAGTTGTGTTCGGATAAAATCGTCAATTTTCGGCTACAGCGACATAAATCAAAATATGCAAGTTTTATTAAATATAAACTAAATTATAACATTATTTTCAACAGTGACATTAAAAAATTATGACATTATTGTTGAAAAGGTGTGAGATATTCTTTTCTGGAAGATCGTCATAACTCAAAAGATATATAAAAATACAATATTTTTGGGATTTTTCTTAATGTAATCAATGAAAAATTGTTATTTTTTGAATACAAGGTGAACACTAATTTTTATTCCCAAAAAATATTTAATCATTTAATGCAAGATCATACAGGAAACAAGACACTTTAAAATGGATATCCTCGAAAATCTATGTTTTTGAGTCATTATTCTTGTGTACCAACGAACGATTCCAAAAAAACCAAACAACCATGGCGATGGCTGTCACAAGTTGACAAAAGAATTGAATTAGTATATAAGTGGAAGCCAATGTTTTTTATAAATCAGATTTTTTTTAGTACTAACGTAAAAGATTATCAAAAAAAATACATTAATGATTCTCTCTAATAACGACATAATTCAAAATTTCAGGTTTTTTAGTTTAATATTATGTTGAGTATAATGACTCATTTTATGTGAAATAAGGACATAATCCATACTTGCCACCCAACCACTAGGATGTGCATTTGTGTCATCTCAAAATTCAAAGTATGTATTGCTTACTGAACACTGACACGATATCGCTATTATAACGGAACCAATCGACAGTTAATCTACTGTTTCTTGTGATTATTGGTATAAATCAAAAATGTACCTGACTTGTTCTATAGAATAACGACATATTTTCTGATGTGTCGTTGTTTAATCATGCGGATTAGACTAATAATTGTATATTTACCAACTGCGTGACTTATTTCTTGTTAAGCCGTTATTCTTAATTGGGTAGATTAATTTTTACTTGGTAATTTTTTTTGCTTGTTGGTAATATTTTTAAAAGAGTCATTATTCTATATACAAATTTTGTTGAGCGCTTTAGGTTTAAACGACTTTTGTTTAATTTTAATTACTTATGCCTTTATTTCAGATAAAATGTAAACTGAATAAAAGAACTGATGTAAAATTTTCAAATATGTCGCTGTTAATAATGAACAAAATTTAATATTTGTAATATTTCTAAGATCATCGTAAAAAATTTTTAAAAATTAAACACGATATCGAAGCTAAGATACTTTTCTACATAGTTGTCTCGATAAAAAAAGTAATATAATTTATTTCAGTATTATAAAAAAATAAATCCTGTAGCACAAAATCTTTAAATCGCTTTCCTGACAATTATTAAATTTTGAGTTATATCACTATTACAGAAAAATTTTGAGTTATATCACTATTACAGAAGAACATCGATATTTGTTTTTAAGAAATTAATTTAATAGTTGTTTAATAGTCCCCATAAATGCTTATATTTGCAAAGAAAACCAGAAAATTATTCCCTTTACACACCAACCATGTAGTATGAGAATCCCCTACCGTACGAACAATTTCCAACTCAAAATCATCGCAAAGTTTACGAAAAATATGAATTTTTGACAAGAAAAACAAAACCCGTTTCTAGATACGCCTATACAATTATTTAAACAAACGTCTATTGGGATTCCTCGGGTCACCTGGCCGATATCGATACACTTTCAACGTTCAAAAGTTCCCTCACTTTGTCCGTGTACTTGATCAACGCGATCTTCGATGCCCGCGTATTAATCTTTTCCCCAGCGTTCAAGAACTGGCAACACCGCGCCTGCTCTAAAAAGTCCGTCATTTTGAGTTCTCTGAGAATCGCTTTCGAGGTTACACTGACACTGCTCGTCGACGGCGGGCATATTTGTTTTAGTAGAGCGTCTCTAGATTTGATTTTGAGGAAGTTAGAGAGATCTTGGAGGAGCACCCATCTGTCGGTTGGAGGTTCGTTGTTTAGAGTGTAGAGGTTAGGCAGGAGACATTCCGACATTTCGATGTCGATGTCCTCTTCCTCAGATGGCGGATCCGGGACGGGGACCTCTTCCAGCACGTTGAAACCGATTTGGTCCACGGGATCTAAAAATACGTTTAAATATATCAAGATGTTGCAAGTTTGAACAGGATAGGAAGAAAATAGCTAAATAAATAAAAGGTGTGGGGATGTTTGATAGCAATATAATCAAGGCCGCTTTAGGGAGGGACTCATGGGGTGACCATGTCACAAGAGATTAAAATTCTTACAATTATTAAAAAAAAAATATTTGCTGAAAAAAATAATTCGTTTTCATACCACAACATAAAGATGAACCAGCAGGCGCGCTCAATAAGAAATCCTTTGATGTTAGTAAGTGAGGTTTCGTCCCCTTCAATCATAATTTTGGTGCATATGCACCGTCTTTGCTCTGTATTAATTATACTACACAACTGACGTTGAGCATTCAGAGAATATGGCGAATCGCTTGCTTAGGATGCTGTCGGCACACTCATATTTTTACGCGGAGTGCGCCTGCTGGTCCATCTTTATGCTGTGGCTATACTATACCATACATTATTTGTAGTGCAATACAGTGTGAACGTAAAGTAAATCTTGAAACCTTAGAGAAAAACAGTTTGTAAATTTTAAAACACTATAAAATCAAAGGTAGTTTCAGTGGAGGCTTGCATGTAAGAGCTATGGGGCTATAGTTTCCCAATACAAGAGGAAACCAGTTAAAATAAATATAAAATAAAAATGTATCTCCTCCGTACTATTTTTAATAAGAAAATATTATATTCCATGTCTATTTATAACTTTTGTTTTACTAGTTTCAATCATAATCTGGCACTCCGCCCCTGGCGTTCAATATATTTTGTTAACTGATGTTGCTGGCGGGTAGGGCTAAAAGTCGTATCGTCCTGAATTCACGTTTTCGGGCGGTCAGATCAGGAAACGTCGCCCGCTCGCGGAATTTTTACATACAATAGGGCTACGAAAATTTCCGCCTTGCTCCTGTATAGATAGTGAGTCTTTTTATTATTTTAACCAGTGATGCCAATGTCCGGATAATTATCCGATTTTCGGATAACTTGGTGCGCCATCGGATATTTTTCGGATAATTCAGTGTTCTACAAAATGGACGTATATCTTATAATACTATGAATGTATGAAACTATAAAATCAAATCAAATATTTTTATATAAAACATTGTTTTATTTACGCCAGCGTTATACTACTATTAAAGCACTTGTGTACATATAATTGCCTAACAACATGGCGACCTTTATGTGTAGCATAATCGAAACGGATTTCTCTAAAGCAATGTTTCTCAAAGTGTGCTCCGCGCAGCACTGGGGCTTCGCAAAGCCTCTGTGGGAGCTCCACTAAATAGTCATAAAAAAAATACTAAAGGAGTATTATGAGGGAGGATCTGATTCGAGGACTTTTTTTTAGATGTAAGGATCTGATTTTGCTTGAGGACTTTCTTTTAGAAATTCCCCGGGGTTTCAAAGTAAAACAAAACCTATCTAAACCAATATAAAGTTTAAAAAATCTATTTTTATTAATTTAGGACTTCGTTAAAGATTTCGCTTTTCAAAAGGGTTCCATGGCCAAAAAAGTTTAATAAACGCTGCTCTAAAAAAGCAATATAGATTTCCTCGACAGTAGAGTATATAAATAAACGCTCTGCCTGCAGGGGTCTTCTTTTGTCGTTTATTCTACGAAAGTAAGACACATTTTTTGTTTCGGATTAATAGATGAAAAATTTCGAATAATTTCGGTTAGACATTCGAATACTTTCGGATAATTTGTATTAGACAATTTTGCATAGAATGATATGAATAAACGTGCATAAAATATCTAAAACAATTAATATTTCGAGAATTTCGCTGGCTGAAACATGCCATATTAAATATTTGAGAAGGCCTGTTTAAAAGGCCGATTTAAAACTTACTCAGGCAGAAAAAAAGTTCAAAAGGGTCACTTACAAGATAATTTTCAATGCAAGTGTATGATACAAAAAAAAGAGAATTGCCTTTACCAATTACGACTACTGTGAATACCTACCTAACATGAAATACATTAAAATAAATCTTACATAAATCGTAAATAAATCGTAAATAAATCGTAAATAAATCGTAAATAAATCGTAAATAAATCGTAAATAAATCGTAAATAAATCGTAAATAAATCGTAAATAAATCGTAAATAAATCGTAAATAAATCGTAAATAAATCGTAAATAAATCGTAAATAAATCGTAAATAAATCGTAAATAAATCGTAAATAAATCGTAAATAAATCGTAAATAAATCGTAAATAAATCGTAAATAAATCGTAAATAAATCGTAAATAAATCGTAAATAAATCGTAAATAAATCGTAAATAAATCGTAAATAAATCGTAAATAAATCGTAAATAAATCGTAAATAAATCGTAAATAAATCGTAAATAAATCGTAAATAAATCGTAAATAAATCGTAAATAAATCGTAAATAAATCGTAAATAAATCGTAAATAAATCGTAAATAAATCGTAAATAAATCGTAAATAAATCGTAAATAAATCGTAAATAAATCGTAAATAAATCGTAAATAAATCGTAAATAAATCGTAAATAAATCGTAAATAAATCGTAAATAAATCGTAAATAAATCGTAAATAAATCGTAAATAAATCGTAAATAAATCGTAAATAAATCGTAAATAAATCGTAAATAAATCGTAAATAAATCGTAAATAAATCGTAAATAAATCGTAAATAAATCGTAAATAAATCGTAAATAAATCGTAAATAAATCGTAAATAAATCGTAAATAAATCGTAAATAAATCGTAAATAAATCGTAAATAAATCGTAAATAAATCGTAAATAAATCGTAAATAAATCGTAAATAAATCGTAAATAAATCGTAAATAAATCGTAAATAAATCGTAAATAAATCGTAAATAAATCGTAAATAAATCGTAAATAAATCGTAAATAAATCGTAAATAAATCGTAAATAAATCGTAAATAAATCGTCAATAAATCGTAAATAAATCGTAAATAAATCGTAAATAAATCGTAAATAAATCGTAAATAAATCGTAAATAAATCGTAAATAAATCGTAAATAAATCGTAAATAAATCGTAAATAAAACGTAAATAAATCGTAAATAAATCGTAAATAAATCGTAAATAAATCGTAAATAAATCGTAAATAAATCGTAAATAAATCGTAAATAAATCGTAAATAAATCGTAAATAAATCGTAAATAAATCGTAAATAAATCGTAAATAAATCGTAAATAAATCGTAAATAAATCGTAAATAAATCGTAAATAAATCGTAAATAAATCGTAAATAAATCGTAAATAAATCGTAAATAAATCGTAAATAAATCGTAAATAAATCGTTAATAAATCGTAAATAAATCGTAAATAAATCGTAAATAAATCGTAAACAAATCGTAAACAAATCGTAAACAAATCGTAAACAAATCGTAAACAAATCGTAAACAAATCGTAAACAAATCGTAAACAAATCGTAAACAAATCGTAAACAAATCGTAAACAAATCGTAAACAAATCGTAAACAAATCGTAAACAAATCGTAAACAAATCGTAAACAAATCGTAAACAAATCGTAAACAAATCGTAAACAAATCGTAAACAAATCGTAAACAAATCGTAAACAAATCGTAAACAAATCGTAAACAAATCGTAAACAAATCGTAAACAAATCGTAAACAAATCGTAAACAAATCGTAAACAAATCGTAAACAAATCGTAAACAAATCGTAAACAAATCGTAAACAAATCGTAAACAAATCGTAAACAAATCGTAAACAAATCGTAAACACAACGTAAACACAACGTAAACAAATCGTAAACAAATCGTAAACAAATCGTAAACAAATCGTAAACAAATAGTAAACAAATCGTAAACAAATCGTAAACAAATCGTAAACAAATCGTAAACAAATCGTTAACAAATCGTAAACAAATCGTAAACAAATCGTAAACAAATCGTAAACAAATCGTAAACAAATCGTAAACAAATCGTAAACAAATCGTAAACAAATCGTAAACAAATCGTAAACAAATCGTAAACAAATCGTAAACAAATCGTAAACAAATCGTAAACAAATCGTAAACAAATCGTAAACAAATCGTAAACAAATCGTAAACAAATCGTAAACAAATCGTAAACAAATCGTAAACAAATCGTAAACAAATCGTAAACAAATCGTAAACAAATCGTAAACAAATCGTAAACAAATCGTAAACAAATCGTAAACAAATCGTAAACAAATCGTAAACAAATCGTAAACAAATCGTAAACAAATCGTAAACAAATCGTAAACAAATCGTAAACAAATCGTAAACAAATCGTAAACAAATCGTAAACAAATCGTAAACAAATCGTAAACAAATCGTAAACAAATCGTAAACAAATCGTAAACAAATCGTAAACAAATCGTAAACAAATCGTAAACAAATCGTAAACAAATCGTATACGAAACGTAAAATCATAAATTGAAAATAAATTAGAAATTAAAGTGTATTAGAATTTAGGAACTAGTTTTTCTTTAAGGTTCTAAGATTCAAAATAACTCTAGAAATGTTTATAGTCTCAGCTAAAATGTAATTTGCAGCCTCAGCTAAATTGATTCGGGTTTCAAATCCACCACCTTTATCACACAACACATATCAGCTATCAATTTTTAGAAAGTTTTATGCTTACCAAAGTTTGAAGAAGGTCCATGAGCCACCCAGTGATCACCGGGTTCGCCTTCAATGTCATTCAAATGATTCTTCAAGAAGTCCTTGGTCACTTCGTCATTTGTCAAAGCTAGCGGCGTCAATCCTGAATAAGTCGCTAAATTAGGATCAGCTCCGTAGGAAAGAAGCAACCTCGCAATTTCCACGAAACCGTTTTCAACGGCTTCGTGTAGAGGCCTGAAAAAATGACTCCATATTAAAAATGTTTAGTGTTCGAATTTTCGTTTTATATATTATAAAAACCAAAAAACGTGAAATCCAAAGTAATTGAAGTATTTTACAAATGATTTCTCTAAAAAAATACAAATGCAATTATTGTTCTCAAATTTTTAAAGATGTATCCAGGATGAAGAAAATTTTTTTAGCTTCTATGCCCAGGGGATATCAAAGAGCTGTTTCCTCGAAGAAAAGGGAACGATGCTTTTTGTTTACCTCAAAGAAAATTTAAGTAAATAAGCTAATGTATTGTTATGAGTCTGACAGACACTAACATACGTGTTGCCCCTAACACCCTGATATAAGTTTGCAAGATTTCAACGATACGTGACGGTCTGGTACTATATTTAGGTAGTATACCAAAGTAGTATTCAGTTCACTAAATTTGAAACAAAAACTATTACTAATAAACACTTTTATTTCACTAAAAACATACCTTATTCCTCCTTGAGCACTTTCACTAGGATTAGCACCGTATAAAAGAAGTAGTTTCGCTATTTCAAGATGACCTTTCGCACATGCCCAGTGCAAAGGTGTGTATCCAGCATTATCTCTGGGAGAAGGATGGCACTCCATTTTTTCTAGGCAGTACGCGGTAACATCCTAAGGAAAAAATTAAACAATTTAAAAATAGAAAATTTTATAAAAATATTTTATATAAAAAATATCGTCGCTAATTGTTTTTAAAATAATTAAAAGCATAATTTAGTTAAGATCTCAGCAAATGTTAAACAGTAAATTCATAATCAATCGATGAAGTCGATCTTGTACAAAATATACAGGTCCCATTTTGCCCAAAAATATATGCGAATCGTAGAGTGTTCTAGTGTTCTAATGTTCTAATGTTGCTAGGACCAAACGGTGATAATCCCTATTCAAAAATTAAAGAATACCCGACTTTAAGTCACCAATAGTGACGACTAATAAAGTGAATAAAATGTTATAAAACGACTTTGCAAAGCAATAATGCATTATAGCAACAAATGAAAAACGGTATAACCTTTGATGAATAAACTATAAGCATCAATTTATGGCAGTTCATCAATTGGGTGAGGATACCCGAAAAAATAATCGGCGTCGGCAACACTGTAACCGTGAATTCACTAGCAACCTAGCGAATTAGTCTCAAAACGCCTAAATAAGAGCAAATCTCGGAGCAAATTAAAAGAATTTCGTTTAAAAATAAAAAAAACAAAATAGTTAAGGCATCTACAGTTCAATTGTGTATATTTTATTTCGGAACACTCTGTACATTAACAGATCTTACGAACATTATTAGAGGTCCTATCCGTGACTCTTAATAGCTATTATAAGTAGCATCCAAATGTTAAGACTGACACAGACCATCTATAGTTAACCTAAAATTCTTATTAGTAGGCCTGATTATCTTAAAGTTGATTAGGCAATATTTTTTTAAAATCAAACTCAAAATTAGCCTTCAACTCTCATATAAATATATGTGTATATCTCATCGCGGCTTATACATGATTTGAAATTAAATATTCAATCGCATATCATGTAGTTTCCTTTTATTTTATGTATTTCTCATAAATCTCTCTTTGTCATGTACCATGAAATGTTATTTCAGGGAAACCCACTCTATTTTCTACCACAATCGGTGTTTTGTTTGAAATGTTTGCTATTTGTTCTTTTTTACCTAATTAGAATATAAATAAAAATATAAAATAAACGTGAAATACGAAAGCAACTTGGCAACGTTGGCAATTTTTTTGATCCACCCTTGTCAAATTATACCAGAAAATAATTATTATTTCGTTTATTTTTCATAAACAATAAAATGATTTCGTTACAGTGTGTATTTTGTATAATTTATATCCTTAAATGCACTAAGCGGGGTGTGAAAGTGGCTCTATGACAAAATGGCGCTTGACAAAATGGCGCATGACAAAATGGCGCATGACAAAATGGCGCATGACAAAATGGCGAATTACAAAATAGCGCAGACAAAGTAGCGCAAGGACAAAATAGGGCAAGGACAAAATAGGGCAAGGGCAAAATAGCGGAAGACAAAATAGATTAGGACAAAGTATCCTAGCACAAAATAGCACAAAGACATAATAGTGCAGGACAAAAGAGCGCGTGACAATATATTCGAGTATTTTAATTGAAATTAAAAAACACTCAACTAATTTACCTAACCTGAGCGGCCTGTACCTATTGCGGGTTGCTCCGAAAAGAATTATACATAAAAAATGAAAAAAAAAGCTAATTTATAGTAAAACCAGAGATCTACTAACTCTCATAAATCATATTAGCCGACGACCCTCATTATCACTATTGTTCGATTTGTAGATAAGCGATTAAATTGTCTGTTGGTTAAAAGATTCCCAGGTCCGGATTAAAATATATATTCTCATGAAATAGTAAAGAATATGTTTTTTTTAATAATATTATAATTGAGGGCTCTTTATTTCAATTGTTAACAGTTTTGAATGTAAAACTATTTATATAATAAAAAATTTCCTAGAATTATTATAAATAAAATTTACTTGCCTGACCACCTGACTTTCTGTACTAAACGTCTATTAAGGAGTAGGTACATCTCTGCGTAGAGACGGCCGCCTGCTGTTAAGTAAATTACCTGCTGTTTTATGGTAGTCACTAGATCTCTGGTTTAACTATACCTATCTCACATGTGCGACCTGGAGTCATATACCGTAAATTAGTTTTGTTTTAATATTAGAATACCGAAATATTTTGTCACACGATAATTTTACTCGCTCTTTTTTGTCTAAGCGTTTACTTGACGTATTATAATTTGACCAGGTGCTAATTTGTCTCACTTTATTTATATCAAGTGCTAATTTGTCCCATGCGGAATTGTCTCGAGCTAAAAATAATAGTTTAAAAAAAAAACTAAACACAAAATTTTTTTTGTTAATTACACTATTAATTTAAATTTATTGAAAATTATTTTTTAGTTTGCGTATATATTCATCCATATATCCATCCATATATTCATGTCTGTTTGAATAGAATTAAAAAATTCGTGTTTAACTTTTTTGATTTATTGTTTGTTTATGGAAAACCAAGTCGTAAACCACTAAGCTCAAAAAGCATCCGTATTTCGGGAATCACTTAAAATTCTTACGATTTCGGTAATTTCGCTGAAATCCACCTTAATATTAGACGATTTCGCCGATATCCCCATTTTATACAACCTCTGTGATATCGGCGGAATGGTTTAATAGTATTTCTAAAAAAGTTACCACAGGGATAACTGACTAACTGCATCTATAGCGATCTTGAGCTGGGTTTTTATTGAAACTTTTTATAATAATGAGTAAATGGATGAATAGAGAATCGAAAGACATGATAAAAAATGCACCCCCCTCTCCTCAACTCCTAACATTGAATAAAATTTGATAAAAAGTTATCACAGGGATAACATACGGTATCGGATTTGGAAAATCGCTAATCATGAAGGACCTAATAAGAATAATGGAACAAACTATTTAAATTATTGCATTGTCATCGGTCCTTCATAAGTGTGCAAAGTTTCAAATCAATCCGACGTTTTGAAGGGAGTGAAAATCACGTTCAAAAATTCCTAAAATATTCACTGCACAGGCGTCGACGGAACATTATTTGTTACGCATTATTTCAATGAAATACATTAATTCAAAAAACATATCTTGTTCGTTTGCGCTATTTTGACCTTATGCTGTTTTGTCCTGCGCTATTTTGTCCTTGAACTATTTTGTATTGTGCGAGGGGTCAAAAACTGCCGAAATACTGGTACGTTTTCATTCGAAATCACTACAAATTTTCTCGAAATTTCCGAAATCATAGTCGATATCATAGTCGAAATTATAGTCGAAATTATAGTCGAAATCATAGTTGAAATCATAGTCGAATTCATAGTCGAAATCATAGTCGAAATCATAGTCGAAATCATGGTCGAAATCATGGTCGAAATCATGGTCGAAATCACTTCAAAATCAATTGGTTGCTCAAAAATGTAAACACAGCAGCATGAAACTGAAGCTAGCGCTTAAAATTAACAGCTAATATGGCCGGCCGCCAGGGACGAACTACGTTAGGGGTCCCGTCAGGGCCTCACCAATTTTTTTTTACTATTTAGAAGTCGTGAGATAAAAGAATCAGAAAATTGAAAAATTATGAAAAATTCTGCGGAAAGAAAATAAGAAAATTTAAAGTTTTAAAAATTCTGTAACTTCGCAAATAATTCGCGAACTTGGTCAGCGACAAGGTGAAAAAATTTCTTAGCCTCTGTAGAATACTCCTTTTAAAAATGAAGCTCTAAAAATTTTGCGGAAAGAAAATTTAAAGTTTCGAAAATTTTCTAATTTCGCAAATAAGTAGATGGGATTAGCCAGTTCTGGACCAAGGTCAGAGGCAAGGTCAGAGGCAATTGGTGTAATTAGTAATTACCCTAAGTACCCACCCCCCACCCTTCGAGCAAGTACCCCCCACCCTTCGAGCAATTAGAAAGTACCCCCCACCCTTCGCGCAATTAGCAAGTACCCCCCACCCTTCGCGCAATTAGCAAGTACCTCCGAATTACTCTGTACACCATGTAATTGCATAGTGTAATGAGTGTAATTGCATAGTGTAATGAGTATAGTAAGTACCTCTCATTACACATAGTGATGTAAGTACCAACCAATTATTCTGTACTGAGTGTAATTGCATAGCGTAATGAGCATAGTAAGTACCTCTCATTACACCATATGCATACCTCTCAGACAGTATTTACTGTGTATATCACGTAGTGTAATAAGTCTAAGTACTTCTCTTGTTTACTGTTGTAGCATAGGGGAAATAAGTCGGCGCCATGCACACCCTTGACTCTCAACCGCCATAGCTAAAGTGAATCACCGGTCTTCGGCAGACACGCGCGATGTAAATATTGTTGGAAGGGGTAGTATCCCACCCTTCGCGCAATTAGCAAGTGCCTCCCAATTATTCTGTAAATTATATACTTTAATGAACGTAATTGAGTGGTGTAATGAGCATAGTAAGTACATCTCATTACCTCCTAGTGATTACTATGTATTTAGAATTTACGTTACTCTATACCGAAGTAACAAGAATTGGAGCTGTTCCCGTATATTATGAATAGGGGAGGGGAGCATAGTGGAGGTGGGGATTTATTGAGAGGTATATAATATCACATCTATACGAATGAGATCAGTCGCGAGCTATAAGTGCGTTGGAAGTTTCATTATCTAATATCGAAATAATCATAAAAATAGTAGATATGTATAAGTGTAATTGCGGTTTAACATTTACAAGAGCAGATAATTTACGACGACATCAAAATAAAAGTTGTAATCTGATATCTAACCGCAATGGTGAATCATCCAGCGGTACGAAAAGAACCGCCAATTCAAGCCCGGATGTTTTACCGGTAAAACAAGCTCGTGTAATGCGAGTTTCACATCGTACCGTAGACCCACAAGTTCATAAAAGTAGATGTTAATCATGTAATGTAGACATCGCAACCAATCAGATGACATCACATATGAGGAGTTGTACGTGAACAGGGATGAATCACCTTCTTCAATATTTTGTCCGAGTATACCTGCTTTAACCTTTCGTAGTTTACAAGAGAGAAAGCATCTCTATTTTCGGACATATTTTTCTCATTGATTTAACCCATGTTACAAAAAAATACATTTATCTGTCTCGTACCATTTTTTTTTTTAATAAAATTAAGTAGGTAACTTTAGATTTAAAATTGCTGAATCATTTAAATTCTAAAAAAAATAAAACAGAAATCAAAAACTAATTATTATAAACACGAAAATATCCGTACGAGTATCCCATTTAAAATTAGGAAGTTGGTATTTATATTTACATTTATGTTTAAACATGGCATCATCGCAAATATACAGATTAATGAATACCACTTACCGTATATCCTAGTCTAGCAGATCTATGAAGATGAGTCTCGCCAATTCCTTTATTTAGAACCCAAGTCTTGATTTCCTTTTGAATATCATCAACGGATTCCAAAGTCTTTGATATAATGATTTTCTTTTTCTTTTTTTCACTAGAATCGCTTTCAATATTATCTTTCTTCGCCTTTTTCTTCTTCCTTATATAATCGAAGCCGGAACTAAGTTTCCGTCTCATTTTACCGAACTTGCCGCGTTTCTTTCCCGATATACTGCCGTCGTCTCCGTCTATAGAAGGAGTTTCAGATTTTATCGTAATATCGTCTAAACTCCTCGTATCATCTTCGTTTATCGAATCGTCTTCTACTTCAGTCTTTATCGTTTTCTCCGCAATAGTCTTTAATAAACTGTCGTCTTTTGTCTTATCCTTACTACGTTCTTTGCTTTCCTTATTATCACTATTAGCACCAAGTTCTTTTTTCATATCTCCGATAACCCTTTCCATAAGATCGTCTTTCTTTTCGAGTCTTACAACTAAGTTACCTAATAGATTGTTAGTGTCACAAGTAACTTCTTCTTTGATTTGAATGTCGTTAACGCAAGTTACTGGAGGCGCGGAAGCTGGACGATCTTCGCCAAACACTTCTTTAATCGTGGCTCTCTGTTTTTGAACTCTAGTCTCCCTACGAGTCCTGGAATTCAACACCACCGTAGTAAATTGATTGTTCAATATATTATTAGATCTTTTGATAAACGCGTCTTTGAAATTACTAATAGTTGACTTTCTAAAACCTAGCAAGGGAGATCCAGTTTTAATTACAGGAGAATTAGATAATTTCTTTGTCTTTTTGTCTTCTTCCTCTTTAATTTCTAAACTAGGAGTGCCCAAAAGTTCAACGGTACTTTCAGACTTCGGAACAATTTTCGGACTATGATCATCTTTCCGTTTGTATTTCTTTCTCTTTCTGCCACCGCACTTCTCTAATAACCTGTCCAAAATTGACATTTCCTTGGCAGTATTAGGCAAGCTTCTAATAGATGAGCCGCCTTCTGAATCGTAATTGGTTTTCTTATTAAATATATTAAAGCTAGAATTTGATTCTGTATCGCTATCCGGAGGTTCTGATTTAACTCTATTAATTTTATTAGATTTAATATCATCCGTTGATATAGACGTTGATGGTGATTGAGGACAAGGATCTAAATCCGGCAAGGAGGTTGATAGTCTATGAAACGCAGGAGGTCTGTTTACTTGTATGAGCGTTGGAGGCATACGTAAAGATTTTTTGTATTTATACACTCCTTCTTCCCAACCGGGATAAAAATCTGAACCGTCTCCGAAAGATGGTTTCTTGAAAGGACGATTAACTGGAAGAAGTTCCGTCGAATTTTTCGCAGAGGAATCTTCTTTATTATTGTCTTTTTCCTCAACAGTATCATTCGTGTCTTTGATATCTGGTGCTAATTTGATTTCTTCTTCAATTTTTTCTTTTTTAATTTCAATTTCTGTTTTAACATCTTCAACTTTGTTTTCTTTATTATTGTTAGACTGTTGTTCATCTTTGCTTTTAATTACGACTTCTTCATTATCACTACTATCACTTGAAGATAACAACCTTCGTCTAACGTTACGTCTTTTAGTTAAAAATATATCTTCTTCTTTAGAATCTAAGTCGTTCGAAATTGGTTCATCCTTAACTTTGGTTAAATCAATTTCTATACTAGAATTGGCAGAACTTGGAATTTCCACGGGTTCTTCTTTAGGTTTTTCTATTGCAAGAGTTGGATCAATTGGATTTTCTTCATCTAATTTCTCTACTTTCACTATGACTGCAGATTCAAAGGGCCGATCTTTACTGATCGATTCTAACAGCGGGGAAATTTCTAGCGCTATGTCCTTCCTCCTTTTTGGCTTTCTTCTACCTACTCCACTCTTTAACTGTTCTAAGAAATTATCACAAAGTTGGGAGAACATATCGTCACCTGGAGAAGGAGCTTGTGGAGGTGACTCTAATTTAACGTCAGACAGTGGGGTACTGTGTTTTGTAGGTTTCCTCCCTTTTCGCATAGCTTCTAAAGATTCTCTATTCAAATCGTTCTCTGAATCTGAATCAGGAAAATCAAATACTGATGTCTCTGAGGAGCTACGCAAACCAGGTTCTCTGGGTGGAGGCAAAGAATGCGTCAAATCCTCCTCATTTCTGCTAAACAATCTCTTCCTTGGAGCAAAAGCGGCGTTCGATCGTTCTTTTTGCAATTTAGGCGGACTAGAACTTAAACTTCCACTACTAGAATAAGTGGTGCTTTGAGGTGTTTCTTGTTTGATAGGAGACTTCAGCTGATTTTCTATAATATCATGGAGTTGACTTTTATTTGTATTTTGGGCGGGAGGTCCTCCTTGTTTAAGTTCTCCTTTAGTTCGTATTCTAGCTGCTAGAAAAGCTGCCAGTCCATCGCATTCCGTATTTAAACTATTATGATTAGTTATCACAGTATCTGAAGTTTGTTTGGTTAATGGTTGATTGGTTTTGTTTGAATCAAAGTTAATAGAATCAATTGCTTTTGGAATATGAAATTTGTACATCGGTGCCATGTTACTATTATCTGGAAAACTGGTGGGAGTGAACGGCGATACATTATTTCTGCTAACAAAGCCTGGTTTGGGCTGTAATGGTGCTGTTACGTCTGTAGAGGGATGCTGGACATCTGATCTAAGAGGAATGCTTTCGTTGGACTTCATTTGTTCGAGTTTCTTTTGCCTATTTACTTCCAAGCTATTTCTTAACAAACTGAGTACTCGTTTGTCCACAGCTCCGCCAAGAGAATTCTTCGAATTACCCAATGTATTGATTGAGGAATTGCTGTTGGACCTCGAAGTAGGCTGAAGGTAAGAGTTCGATGCCTGCGTTGGATAACCTGGATATTGATGTGTTCCAGGAGAAGGTACGTAAGTTTGTAGGTGATTGGCTTGCATAGGATATTGACTATTAAAGGAGGAATGTTTTGGTGTACTTTCGTAATTAGGTTTGTCATAACCTGGATACATATTTTTAGTTTTATCCTGAAAATTCCCATTAACTAGAGGAACTTTAGTTGGAGAGGCGAGCTTCTCTTGCTGCTGTTTGTAATTAGAAAGTCTTTCTTCTATCTGTAGGTCAATGGATTGCCTCCAAGCATCAGCTACTTTAGGAACTTTATTCGGAATTATAGATGGGGCTTCTACTTCTCCTGGTCGTTTCTTCAATATATCGTTTGCAGTCATTCTAGGTGTGTTAGCTATTCCTGGTACTGGTTTAGGAGTGGCTCTGATGTAGGAATTTACATGAGCGGCTGTTGGTATCGAAGCGGTAGGATACCTATACATCATACTTTTATTTTCCGGCAGTGCTTTACTACTGGAATGTGCCTTTTCTGGTATCACACTGCGTCTAGGCTCTTCTAAAGGTCTTCTAGGCTGCGCAAGTGTAGGCGCACTGAAGTTAGGCCGAAATTCAAATTTAGGGGCAGTTGCGGCTGTCTGAGCAGATCTTTGTATTATGTTTCTTTGGAAGGTGACATCCAATTGCGGATAATTGAGAGCTGATACGGATTGAGATGGTTGTCTTTGATTTTGTAGGTACTTATTTCTAGCGTCTTGCTCAGCATCACCTAGAGTCGAATCGGCTGGTGTCCTTACGGTTTTAACGGAAAGATCTAAGGGAGATTCCCGTTTAACGATTCTGTTATTTGCGTTTTCAACTGGATGGGTTGGATGTTGTTCTACGGTTTGAGTTCTTGGTATTCCAGGATGTTGGTATTGGTTGGAAGACTGGCTTTGGTTGGTAGTGTAATAAGTCGATGCAGCACTTGACGTAGTCATTATAACCTGAGTATACGATGGAGTGGTCGTAGTAGTGGTTTGCTGATACTGTTGGTTCGAATTTGTTCTATAAATTGGATAGTTCGGTACCGATGCCGCCGGATTAGGTTGTATAATAGAGTTACTCGTAGTGGGAACGTTTACACTTTGGGTATACGAATTTGAACTAAATGTTCGCGGTCTTGACGTTGTGGTGGAAGTAACCGGTCTGACAGGCTCTCTACTAACACGACTGGAATGGTAATTCGACAGACTGGCGATTGGCGGTATATAATTATGAGTAGTTCTAATTGTTTGTTCGACAGGATTAGTTCGTATAGCCGTAGGATGAGTAGCGCTCTGATCCTCTTGTCGAGATGCAGCAAATACGGACTGATGCGTCTGTTGAGGCGAATAAATATGTTTGTAATACATATTTTGCTGTTGTTGAGTAGACTGAGGATACTGTTGTACCGTTGATGGTTTGTAAGTAATATTACCAGTAGCAACCTTAGGTTGAGGCTGTTGGTAATAGCTGTGAGCCTGTGAATAACTGTACGACTCCGTCTGCGAGTACGGAGAGTCTCTCGCAGAAACTCTAGGAACTAGTTGTTCATGAGAAGGTACTCGAGGTATAGTCTGCTCTCTTGACGGTACTCTTGGAACCATCTGTTCCCTTGATGGAGCTCTAGGCTGTTGAGGGGATGGAATTTGGTGATAAGGAGAAGGAGACTGATGGTAAGGAGAACTACCGGGCAGTTGAGTTTGATACTGAGGATAATTTGGAGAATCTCTGACTTGCGGTCGTGAAAACTCGAAAGATTGCCGCGATTGCTGATACTGTTCTGGCGGTTGCTGCTGATGAGATTGCTGCTGGTGTTGATTTTGATAATGCTGATGTTGTTGATTTTGATGTTGCTGCTGCTGTTGTTGATGTTGATTTTGATGTTGCTGTTGTTGTTGTTGTTGTTGAGTTTGATGTTGCTGCTGTTGATTTTGATGCTGCTGCATTTGATTTTGATGTTGTACTTGTTGTTGCTGCATTTTAGTTTGTTGTTGTTGCTGCTGCTGTTGCTGTTGTAGTTGCTGTTGCTGCTGCAGCTGCTGTTGGTGTATCTGGGACATTTGATACTGTTCGGGGTAAGAACCTGTAAGAACTAGTGTTGCAAGAAACCAAACGTAATAATGATTCAAATACGTAATTTTAATAAAGTGTAAAAGACATACCTGAGTAATAGGTTCTATTTTGTTCAGCATTATGAGCGTATTGCGATAAATGTGAAGCTGGTCTGGAAGATGAATCTGATCCATGCGAGGGCGGTCTGTGGATAGATGTGTGATCTTTAAGCATCGGCGCATGCTCCCTATGCCCGGGAGTATGTTCCCTTTGCGGTGGCAGGTGTTCTCTGGATTGAGATCGAACCGCTTCTGTCCCTTGCGATGACCAGTAGGCGGTGGAAGACGGGGGCACGCCTTGGTCGTAGTCATTGCGAAGATGGGCTTCGGATGAGTAGTCGGGGCTCACCGCCGAATTGGAACCCGTTGGCAGCCCCTGGAAATACTGTCGTGCCCCCTCCAATACGTTTGTAAACGTAACATCCATGACCTGCAGGTCCAGCCTGCTATGATCTTATCTGAAACAATAAAAGTATGCATTACTAAATGATTATTTTATCTATATTTGTTACGGAATAATAGATAAGAAGGTGTAGACATTACGTCTAAGAATTGTATACGTTACTGATAAGTGAAAAATTTATTGAGTGATATATTTTTTAATGAAGTGTAATCATTATCTAACGAAATGACGCATAAGTAATCAAAAACATTGGTGCATGCGTAATTAGCTCGAGAAAAGATTGGTTAGGTTACTTTAAAGAAATCAAAAGATTTTTTGAACAAACGAAAAACAATGAGAATCGGTTTAAATGAACACAGAAATAACTGTTAATACAACACATTTTTTACCGGATAATGCTGTATTCTTTCATGCACATAAATGATGTGAGGTTTGAGGTTCACTTTACGTTTACTTGTTAGAATAAACAAAGTTTGTAACATTCTCATCATGTATAGAAAACAAGAATTAGTTGTAGTTAAAAATTACAGTACTTGGATGGTTGACCACAAGGTTAAAACATACGAAGGTTTGGAAAAATTACTGGTAATGTAGTGTGTATTACAAACCACTCGCAAAAGCATTTAAACTAAATAACACAAAATTTAACTAATTGGCAAATAAACATTATTGACATTCATTAAAAAAACATCTTTTAGACACATAATAAAATTGATAAAAACTGTTTGTTTACGATATTTAGCAAGTCGTAATTTTTATTTGTTTACATCAAATGACACGTTTACATAAAATGATACGTTTACACACGAAAATTAAATCAAATTTTCATGTTTTATTTTTGCATTGTAATTTTTAGTGGGTCAGAGAAATTCCAGAGAAATAGGGGGCAATGATGGACAAGTAATGTTATTTTTAACAGACACGTTATTTGTAAACAGGTTGTTATTTCTGTGTGTTTATAAAATAACAGATCTGTTAAAATTAACACAGGTTGGCAATCATAAACCCCATACTGATTCAAAGATAGGGTTAGGGTAGCAGATGGTAAGGAATGGGTCGCCCAAAACGATTTTCTGGACTTTCAGGAACATGTCATATTTTGCAGAAAAATTAATGACATATGACATTAAATATTTAAGGAGGTCCTTTCGCCACACCTCTCGCCTCAAATGTTAAAAAAAAAAGTTATTAGATTATGACTAAAATTAATGTTTTTCTAATAGTTGAAGTCCTTATTTATCTAATACTGAACTTTTAACTATACCTTACCTTACAAATTTTTGAGAATTTTTTTTTTTAAATGTGAGTATTTGTACAGTGCCTCACGAGAAAGTAAGTCCTCAACAACAATTCTCAAATTATACTATTATTTATTGATTAGAAGGAGTAGAAAAAAACTAAAAATAAGGTTTTTGAAATATTTAGATTTTGTTTTATACAATAAAATATATATAGTAAACCGTGGAACTTATTGAGAAATTAATATTAAAAAATCACAAAAAATTTTCAAGTAACCTAGTTGAAAATTTTTTGTGATTTTTTAATAATAATTTCTCAATATATTCCACGGTAACCTATATATTTTATTGTAAAAAACAAATCCTAAATATTTCAAAAACCTTATTTTAGTTTTTTTCTACTCCATCTAATCAATAAATAATAGTAAAATTAATTATAATTCGAAAATTGTTGTTGAAGTCTTACTTTCTCACAAGACACTGTACAAACACACACATTTTTAAAAAAAAAATCTCAAAAATTTGCACGGTAAGGTATAGTTAAAAGTTCACTATTAGATAAATAAGGACATCTACTATTAGAAAAAAATTAATTTTAGTCATAATCTAATATTTTTTATTTAACATTGGTGGCGAAAGGACCTCCTTAATATGTTCAAATCCAAAACATTAATTACATTTTCTCAGGCTAGTTCGTCTTTATTCATTTCACATTTAAAAGTGATACATTCTTTTTGTCTAGTTATACTATTGACACATTTTTTTTTAAATTTATGTTTAATTTAAATTTTGTACTCCACTGATAAATATTATCAATATCTTTTTGAAATAAAATAAAATCACGGACTTTTTAAATTTCTTTATATACTTTCAAATCATCAGCAAAAATTGGGCATTTTGAGTATTTTACTAATTTTACTAAAGGTGGTAGATTATTTATGAGCAAAATGAAGTACAAGAGCTCCAAATTTGACCCTTGTGGCACAACTGAATATGTTGTAAATGTTCCAGAGTAATTATATGAACGGCATCGTCTCTGCAAATAATATCAGACGTTTTTGGATAGTTTTTGAAAATGGTCAGCCCAGAAGTAATCGTCTGTGTTTCTTAATTTGAATGTCTATCAAACTAGCAATATCTCTTGTATAGATATCATATAATATAGCCCAGCAGGGGAAAATAAAGATAAAGATAGGTGATTGTAAAGAAGAAATTATTTTCTGGAACAGTAAGCGAAGTATTAGAGGTCCTCTTATAAATAGATGTCAAAAATATTTTATTTAGACCATTAAAAAACTGCCAATTCTATAAAAATTGCTCTATTTAGTTTTGGACGGGTTGTTATATTAGTATCTAAACGTAGCTTTTAAGTCTAGACCTCCCTTGGCATCTAAACAAAAGTAATAATAAAAACAACAGTGTTAGTTAAGAATAAGACGAAGATAAAGAAAAACTAACTTTTTCGTAGGAAAAAGGATACAGAAAACGAATTGCCAATTTGTTTTCATAATGTTATTACATAAACAACTTTGAATAAAGCAAAACATTTTTCAATGTAGTTTTTCTTGGCATGATGTAACGTCGTGAACTGGTTTATAAATAACATTGTCTTAAGAGTGCTTTAGACTACACAATTTCTTGTACAGGATTAATTCAATTTCTTGAACAATTTAAATTGTGTAGTATCATACAGTAATTGTTTAAAAAAATCCGATTTTTTCAAACAATTTACTGTATGATACTACAAAATTTAAATTGTACAAGAAATTGTGTAGTCTAAAGCAGTCTTTATGTGCGAAATACTGTAATATATTGCTGGATAATTTTGTGATTACAAATTTATAATATGAGATGCGGTATTCACATTGAAAACGTTAATTCTTATAAAACAGTCTTAAAGTTGGATTAACACTAAAAACAACTTCCTGAATGTTAAATGAATGTTCTTTGCTCGACTTGCAACTTAGGTTTGTAAACTAAATATTAATGAGGAGCCTAGAGGATCATTTATTATTATCTGCGTATTCATTAATTCCTTTAGGAATGTTGCTGCTACTTTTGGGGTATTCTCTGAATCATTTAGTCACTCCGGATAACCTTTTCCTTCGTTTATTTTCTTCTAAGTACAAAAAAACTGTTGTCATTTTTGAAAACAAGTTTAATGCCAGAATTAAACGAATTTTACAAATGTATGAACCATTAGAATCATATATTTTGTCTATCGAAAATTATCGAAAACAATTTTTTAATATTTATATTTACAGATAAGGATTTTTTTTATCGTTAAAATTTGTTCCACGGTTCATTATAATACGTGCCAAACATCGTTATATAATTCTCTAATGTTTTAATAATTTCTGTTCTGGTTAACGTTTTTTTTTTGAGGGTATAGAATTACATATGTCTTAAAAGCATTGACGATAAATAAAGCGTGTTTAAAACCATCTATGGTCATTTGTTATTTTAAATCACGGCTCAACTCAATCAATAGAAGATGTATGAAAAGGAATATTTATTTTCTCTTCTCGTTGACGACAAACGGTACGCCTGATAAATAATGACTTGGTCACTAGATAGCCTTATTTTTAACTCAGTGGTATGTATTGCTTCTCTCAGCCGGTTATTTATAGAGATAATATAAATTCCTTTTAATGAAGAAAACATTTAATTTTTCATCGAATTTCTACCAAAATTAAAAATTAAACGACTACAAATAAAGACACTATCTGTCTAAAAATAGCGTAGTAGACCACTGCTAAATTATCCACATCATAAAAACAAATTTTGGAACCTATACCATTGCATTCAATTGTAAATGGTATTTTACTATTTTTAAAAGTTACGTTGCGTACACCTTTTAACGTTATCAGTGCTCTAAATTACAATTTGATCAAGTACGAAAAATAAACCCAGAGAAAAGTTTTATTCTAGACCTAGGAGAAAAAACTCGTTCCCTAACTAGGGACGTAAATATTCAATCTTTAAAAATCAGCAGTACGTCCAGTCCAGTATCGCGTAAGCACATTTTAAACATTACGGTGTTCGATAAGCGCTTAAATAATTATGGCTCCGATTCTCGATAACAACCGAAAATTTGTTGTATGTAAACGTTTGCAGCGATCGATTGAGCGCTCGGCAAGCAGCAGCTTCTTCCTTTGTTCGCTTGTAAAGGTCGAATCATGGCAGTGTAAAGTTTGCAAAGCGGAAATATTTACGAAGGAAAACTTTGTAAAATCGAGTTCGAGGCCCCTTTAGCGCCAGCCACCCATTTATTATTATGCCACTTTAAAATTTTCTCTAGATATCACCCGAAAGTTGCCGTCGTCGTTTCAACTTTTCGGATTGTGGATATTATTGTTTATGCTTCGTGCTCTTTGAGGTCAGGCTAACCGAAAGAATTGGATAAGTTATTTATAATGGATAACAAAACTTCGTTTTACATCTTACTTAACACCTTGACTGCCGATACCGACATTTCTTTCAGTGCCGCCGCCAAATATGTGAATTTACTTTTTCTTGCGGTTATTGCACTTTCGGTAATAACTGGTTTATACAATTGTTTTAACTAGATAGCTTTAGTCAAACAGATTATGATAAAAACCCACTTCAGTCTCGTGAGACCTATACCGCGCAACAGATGGATGTTAATACACGATCCTTGCGATAAAAATCTCTGGGGACTAATACATTTCCACGTTTTAGAGACGTAGGTTATTTTCTGTGCCTGCGTTTTAACTGCCATGTGCCTTGTTATTGTTTTACTGCGAATATTAGTGTTCGTTCAGTAAACACGTAATAATTTCTTCTCGTTCAAAAAAAAAGTTTGGGATAGGCACTCAACACATCTCTTGCCATGTAATGCGTGGTGCCTTTAACTTTATTGTGATTGCATTGACAGGTCAACATTCTGATGGTCTGATAACTTACTCCTAGATTAAAGTGATCTTCCATATCAGATCTGTTGATTGTTGAACTTGTTATTAATTTAACATATCTACCTTTTCTAAACAGATCAGGCCATTGGGTCACTAAGTTTTCCTTGCAAATATTTTTTTCAATTTCTCAAAAAAAAGTTACACAAACGAGAGAATCTGTGAATTACAGTGAACTTGTGAGTGGAATACAATTATGTCTTTTGCAAACATTCACGATAATTAAAAAAATTAACGAATTTACCTGGAATAAACATCGAACAAATAAGAAGCTGTGTAGTATGATCCAAGTGTGTTTGATACATTTTATCAAAGACCAATAGTTGATGACAAGTATGAATTCGCGATTATTTACAATGCTATTAAAATGACATTTATTAGTATACTAGGGATTTCAGGTTGAGAGTAATTTATAGAATAGTTTCTACTTATACCTTTAATCGTAAAATTATTAATCTATATAGTGTATACATCATATTAGAAATATTATATGTAGCAGTCTTATTAATATTCTATAAATTCTTGTTGCTTTTTACTTTAAACAACCAAATAAAGATTATTTATGAGACAAGATCGAAATATAATTAAAAGAATAAACGAACTAACCTTAAGTTAAGTTCAGTTTTAATTATATGTAGATCTCGTCTAAATAAATAAGCTTCCTTCCAATATTATATTTTAATTTCAATAATAAACTGATATCCTTCGATATGCAACAAGATCTTTGAAGTAATGATCTAAATATGCTTATGTCGGACAAACACTGATGAAAGACTAATGAAAGACTAATGAAAGACTAATGAAAGACTAATGAAAGACTAATGAAAGACTAATGAAAGACTAATGAAAGACTAATGAAAGACTAATGAAAGACTAATGAAAGACTAATGAAAGACTAATGAAAGACTAATGAAAGACTAATGAAAGACTAATGAAAGACTAATGAAAGACTAATGAAAGACTAATGAAAGACTAATGAAAGACTAATGAAAGACTAATGAAAGACTAATGAAAGACTAATGAAAGACTAATGAAAGACTAATGAAAGACTAATGAAAGACTAATGAAAGACTAATGAAAGACTAATGAAAGACTAATGAAAGACTAATGAAAGACTAATGAAAGACTAATGAAAGACTAATGAAAGACTAATGAAAGACTAATGAAAGACTAATGAAAGACTAATGAAAGACTAATGAAAGACTAATGAAAGACTAATGAAAGACTAATGAAAGACTAATGAAAGACTAATGAAAGACTAATGAAAGACTAATGAAAGACTAATGAAAGACTAATGAAAGACTAATGAAAGACTAATGAAAGACTAATGAAAGACTAATGAAAGACTAATGAAAGACTAATGAAAGACTAATGAAAGACTAATGAAAGACTAATGAAAGACTAATGAAAGACTAATGAAAGACTAATGAAAGACTAATGAAAGACTAATGAAATACTAATGAAAGACTAATGAAAGACTAATGAAAGACTAATGAAAGACTAATGAAAGACTAATGAAAGACTAATGAAAGACTAATGAAAGACTAATGAAAGACTAATGAAAGACTAATGAAAGACTAATGAAAGACTAATGAAAGACTAATGAAAGACTAATGAAAGACTAATGAAAGACTAATGAAAGACTAATAAAAGACTAATGAAAGACTAATGAAAGACTAATGAAAGACTAATGAAAGACTAATGAAAGACTAATGAAAGACTAATGAAAGACTAATGAAAGACTAATGAAAGACTAATGAAAGACTAATGAAAGACTAATGAAAGACTAAACTGCTGAAAGACTAAACTGCTGAAAGACTAGACTACTGAAAGACTAGACTACTGAAAGACTAGACTACTGAAAGACTAGACTACTGACACTAGGCTACTGAAAGACTAGACTACTGAAAGACTACACTACTGAAATACTACTGAAAGACTACTGAAAGACTACTGAAAGACTACTGAAAGACTACTGAAAGACTACTGAAAGACTACTGAAAGACTACTGAAAGACGACTGAAAGACTACTGAAAGACTACTGAAAGACGACTGAAAGACTACTGAAAGACTACTGATAGACTACTGAAAGACTACTGAAAGACTACTGAAAGACTACTGAAAGACTACTGAAAGACTACTGAAAGACTACTGAAAGACAACAGAAAGGTAAAAAAAAATTTAATGAGATTTAAACGAGCGCAATTAGCTCATGAGCTCATTAGCTCATGATTATCAGAAGCAGATCAGTCGCTACTAACATTTTATGCTGCCTTGATGATTGGAATAGGGAACTAGACATGCAAAATTGTGTAAAAGTTATATACCTTAATTTCAACAAAGCTATCAATAAAGTGCCTAAAAATAGACTAATATTTACATTAGACAGGATTGGTCATCGCGATCATTTACTAAATTGGTTAACTGACTTTATCAAACCGCCAATTTGTCATACACAAATATACCCAAGGCAGTATTAAGCGGAGTTTCACAAGGATCCATAGTGGGACCACTTTTATTTAATATTTGTATTTCATATCTCCAGTTCCTGTTAGGCTCTGATTTTTCGGTATATGATGACGATACCAAAATATAGAATCCTGTGAAACAAGATTTCAATAAAATATTTGATTGGTCAGAGAAGTGGTTATTGCATATAAACGTCGAAAAGTGTACGGTAATGCACATAGGTAAAAGTATTCTGCAATTTATACAAATGGTAAATGAATCGGTAGCTACTAAGAAAAATCAATGAGCATGGAAACGAAATTTGGATTATTTTTTTAATAAAAATTGTCAGTTTCTAACTTAAATTTAGCAATTTAGTTGGTTTCTCTAGCATTTATAGTTACTTCACAATTAATTCTCAAAGTTCGAATAAATAAGCCACGCCCCGTATTTTTCTCGTAGCAGCGAGGCTGGTTCGCAACGCCATATGCGCCTTTCGCCTGCTAGAGACTTAGCTTTATGTAGTAATTATTATTATGCCTTTGCTGTTGTTTGATTTTTTCGAAATTTCTGCTCAAAATATCCGGTATAAACATTGTATTGTGCCGAGATGTAAAAATACGATAAGAACTACCCCAAATAACGTATTCATTAGTGTGTCAAAAGGAGAGAAAATACGGAAACAATAGTGTAATGCAATGAAGAAAGAATAAAATAAACAAAGTACTTTCGAGTAAATTGGTTTTGTTGTGAAGATCATTTTGAGGTAAGTTAATTTCAAATTAATTAAGGTACCTCCCAGCAAACATTTTCGATATTATTAGCTATAACTCGACTTGGTAAAAGTCAAATCTACTTATTGAGGTAATTATTACGTAAAATTGACTAGAATAATATATCTGTACTTTAAATTTACCAAATGGTTCTAATTTATGTATAAATTTACGTAAATTATACCAAGAAATCTACCTCGTACGCATATCTACTTAAAAGTAACTTTAACCAAATCAGAAAGGCAAAAACTACTAACAAAAATAACCAAAAATTATCTCAAAGGTAAATTTCCTTTAAAGTAAAATTAGGTATCATAATTAGGTAGCATTAACCTGTTTGGCAACTAAAAATCGTCTTTATAGTAGAATATCCTACTAGGTAGATTTGGTTGAACATTTTTCGTAACTTTATACTTGTAAAGTAACCTATTTGGATGCTTTATTTACTCTACTTTAAAGTAATATTAGGTCGATATTGTAGAAAAAGTATACCTTGTTTTTCTACTTAATTTTAAACAAATAGTCGATTACTCATTTAGTTGACCTAAAAGTCATCCTAAATAAATGAATATTAACTTTACTGTAGCAATTACCTAAAAAATCTACTACAAAGTAATTTCGACTATAAACCACCAATTTAAAACCTGCCATACATAACCTATTTGTAAAATTTATATTATTTAGGTTATTTTAACAATTAGGTTGTTCACTTATTGTCTTCGTCATTATTCTTAAGAATTCCGGCCATTTTAAAAAACCGTTGCAATGGTAAACTTAATTCTCTTGCCGTATAGATAGAGCTATAAATGCAAAAAATAATAAATAATAGTTTCGATTTTTTTCGTAAAGTCAAACGTTTTAAATCTCAAGTGCAGTATAACGTGAAAAATAAAACAAATTACTCCAGTGTCCAGTAAATTGATGTCAACACACGTTAAATAAAAATTTACACTTAATATGGCTGAAATTTACTAATATTTCCAAAAATAGGGTGACCTAAATAATGTCGTTATCTTTAAGGTAATTCAACTTAGTCAAAAGCTATTTGTAAAATACGTAGATTTCCATAGTCGTATTAACTTTTAAGTCGAATTAGCACAATACGCCATATTTTCTTAACATAATTGAAATACGATTCCAAATTTCAAATTTTTTAAATTAACTTAACTAGAAAAGAACGGATGAAAATTACAAAAAAAAACATTATTGATTTTCTAAAGTGATACACAACAAATGTAACATAGTTTTAGCTCATAATATTATTATATTTTTTTTTATATCATAATATTTCTTCTTATATTTTTTCTTATTAAAGAGTATTTTGGAAGGGCATTGTTATTTTTCAAAGTAGAACTGTTAACATGCACGACAAACTTTCCTTCGCATTAATTTTAACAAACGTAACATATTGATTCATCGTAATTAAATAATGTATATATTTTTGTTACCGACATTTATTTATTTTCAATCTTTGCTGTGAATTAAGTATATGTTTTAGTTGTGGTCACTTCCTACAATATTTCGACTTCTATAGATAAAAATACCAAATAAGTAAAAAATGTATCTTTTTGTACACTTGAAGTCGTTCGTCATCTGAAAATCTTTGTAGTTTCTACCTAAAGCTGGTTAAATCAACGTCGAATTGACGTTATACTGACGTCAAATTTCCCTAGAGAAGTATTACTAACCAAACGTAGTAGGGCTACTACAATGTGAATTTAGGCGTAATTTTACCTATTTTGGTCAATAAAACCAAATTTCGACGTCGTCTTATTCTCCACTTATGTCGAATCCACGTCAAGATAACGTAAATTTTCCTTAAATATGGTTAAATCTAATTTTGCGACCAAATTTATTATACATATTTTAGGTAGTCTCGACGTCAAAATAAACCAAAATGTTTGCTGGGCTACTACTACAGTAGTATATTTAGTAGTACTAATACACGTATTTACTTACAGGGTCTGCAACTGCTAAATTCAAATGTCTTGTAATAAAAAAATCTATAAAAATTCATTGGAACAGTTAGTTTTTTAAATTATTCTAAAAAGTATTCCGATCTTCGTGTTTTAATAAACTCTCAGTTGTCGTGCTGTATCTGATCGGAAAGGTGTTTCAGTATAAATAGCCATTGGTTTCAGTCTGCCAATATAAAAAATTTATAAGGACTTTATAAGATATATTTTCGTTCAATATTAGAGTTTTATAATTCGGTTTGGTGCCCGAGAGATAATATGTTGGACAACGTTCAACGTCGTGTTAATTGAATTCCTTTCGGCAGAGTGCGGCCTTCATATTATGACGAAAAGCTTAAAATGTTTTGTCTTTCTTCCTTAACCTATCGACGTAGAAGATGAGACCTAGTAACACTTTTAAACTATCTATCTGATGATTATGTACTGCAATACTTAATCCCAACAATCGACTAGGAGGGCATCTTCGGAAATTGATAAGGGAAAATTCCAGGACTACTGTGGAATTGAACTTTCTTCCGAATAGTCTTTCAATAACAGGAAGCGCTACCAGAACAATGTTGTTATGGCACCTTTCATCGACACTTTTAAAACTAGATACATGGCAATCTTTAATTTTGTTATTGTCTTTAATATTATTAGTCACTCGTTCATATAAATGTAAAGAGCAAAATAGGATTTTAATCCTCTACTCCAATCTTCAATAATAAAAAAATAATAACATTTAGAAACTTTCTGTTTTACAATTGGCTTTACATCCATATCTGAGGTCGCTAAAATCATCAATTATCTACATTCTCTTATTCGTACTATAGCAAAAATGGGGTACATATGATTAGAGCAACATTTCGCTAAAAAAATAAAAATTAGAGTGTTTTATTACCAATTTCGATACTCATTCATAAATTTTACAATCCCGTAATTTTGAAATTCCAACCGTTTCCTTTTCGTGTATTTAATAAGCCAACATTAATGTCCGGTTAAAAAGCTCTTCATAACTCTTATCCGGAGGCTCGTTCCGGAGTTAAAGCTAATAATACAGTCATTAACTTAATTACAAATTACGTCCGCATATTTTTTTACCGCTTTCATTCCTTTATTTGCGCTAAATGCCAAAGAAAACGGTTTTTTGTTCTTTTCTGGACGAAGCGCTTACTTTTATAGTGTTTCTTTCTTACGTATGCTTTCAGAGAAGTGACTCTGTATTCCGGTATCACGTTAATCCGGATTATTTTATTTTATAGCGTTGCACAAATGATGTCATTGATAACTTTATTTTACGTTAATCTTGCGATATTAGTATGTAAAGCGAGAAAGGCAGATTTGCGATAGATATTAAATTAACGGTTTTTAACTATAAATTTACATTAATTTCAGATGCGTTATACGTGTATGCAAAATACAGTTGGCGTTTTATAGTTATTACTGGGCAAATAGAAAATTTATTGTTATTAGTTTTTATTAATTTGTATTTAATATACCAATAAAAACATATTTAACAAATATTTTATTGTTTATATTTGTATTTATTATACTGATATTTATACTATCTATATTTTTCCACTGGTTTCCGTTTTTTGAGGCTGTTCGGTTTTTCTTCATTCTATCCCTCGTTTTTATTATTTTTCCGCTGGCCATTTGCGGTTAGGGTGGCCATACATAAAGCATTTCGAGGTATTGCAGGGGCGTGCGGTCCATGGAAGAGGGGGAAGCACCGCTTCCTACACTAAAATTTAAAAATATATTTTTAAGTTTACAATGCATAGAAATTAATATTAAATTATGTACTATATTTTCTCTGAAACATTACGTGAACTTCGTAAATGTACTAACAATGTATTGGTGTAATGTGTAAACGCACGCACCAACCATGAGAAAATTAATTGTGTAAACGTACACACCATATACTTCGAGTCCGTCGGCGGAAGCGTGACTTGAAATAGCCGGTTCATCTTGCAAGTGATTTCGCTTAGTGTTATTGACCCTGCTTTGCTGCGACAGTGTCAGTCTGTTTGGACACGTGAAATACGGTCGAGAGGCAGAGATTATTACGCCGCCTTACGCATATTGCAATTCGCAACGCGAATCGACGTATGAGGAAAATCTTAAATTTTAGGTAGATTTCTGTTTGTTTCTCGTAGTTGTTTTTCTTTTTGTAAAATGGAGGAACTATGCACTGGGCTTGTGAACAATAATAATGTGGTAAATTGTGTCTGTATTGTGTGCTCTTTATTGAAAAAAGGATTTTCAAGTAGACATTTTGAAGAGAAAACGGACATTATTAATTCTAATAGACTAAAGGATCCTA